CACACACACACACACACAATCAATCAATCAATCAATCAATCAATCAATCAATCAATCAATCAATCAATCAATCAATCAATCAATCAATCAATCAAATCAAACAATCAATTAATCAATCAAGATCTTATCGATTAGATAGGATCTTGAGTGATTGATTGATTGTTTGATTTGATTGATTGATTGATTGATTGATTGATTGATTGATTGATCGATTGATTGGTTGATTGATTGATTGTTTGATCGATTGATTGAATGATTGAATGATTGAATGATTGAATGATTGAATGATTGAATGATTGATTGAATGATTGATTGATTGATCCATTGATTGATTGATTGGTTGATTGATTGTGCTAGGAGAGAGAGAGAGACAAAGAGAGAGAGAGAAAGAGAGAAAGAGAGAGAGATTTGTTTTTCTATTTTTTTTTATTGCACTAATCCGTTTTTGTTTTTTGTTTTATGTGGTGATGCAGGTGCTACCAAGCGGTTGTCGGGGCGTGTGGCAGGAGGGGAGGTGCTTACTCTCGGAACGGCGGGGGGTTGTCGGGGCGTGTGGAAGGAGGGGTGGTGCTTACAACCGACGTGATGGCGTGGTTCGAGTAGACGATACGACGACGTCGTCGACTCGTCCGCTCTAGGGAGGCAGGAGACGAGGAGACATGGGTCATCCGTTGCGACCGTGGTGGGGGGAGGGAGTGTTTCATCGACACGCATCATGGGTGGGGCGAGGCGGAGAGGCAGTGGTAAGGGGAAGGGAGGTCAACGGTATTGGCGGTTTCGCTCTTCTTCCATGTCGTCCTTATGTTGATTGTCCATCGACCTTCTGACTATTTTGTACATTGTTTAGGATGATGTACGTATAGTTTGGTCTTAGGCACTTAGAACCAGTTCCTGGACTTAAGTAAGCTAGTAGTGTCGTCAAGAGTTTTTTTTCTTTTTTTTACTTTTTTGGTTTATGTGTAGCGTTTTCATTTTGTTGTTTAGTTATTGGGTTTATGTCCAAGGTGGGACTTCATTCCAACTCGTCGTATTATGAAAATGTTTGTTTGGCTTTTCTTTTCATATTTATTAGTTAGTGGTGTAGGCTGCATCCCATCGATGTACGACTCCGTACGAGTGTCGACGACACATTATATCATGTGACATG